CGAGCAGTGGCTTTAGAGCGGATTGAGGACTTGTGAATGTGGGTAGTATGTCGGACCACGGAGGTGAGCCAGTTCTGGGTTGTTTATATTTTGAACAATTTGACACTTTCACCACTTCGGCCACTGCTGAATAAGCGCAGTCACAACGATATTAGAGTACTTTGGATTCTAAGCACTTGTATCCAGACTATATAGCCGATTGCCTTCCAGACGTAGTCTAGTCTTGCCATCGCCTTCCCACGCCTAGGCAATTTCTATTCTTTGCTGATAGCTTTTAATACCTTACAGTAGCCAACATATTAAGTAAAAAGGGTTTTAAAGCGGTAAATCAGCAAACATATCTTATGTCTGCAAAGGTCTGATAGGGATAATCCTAAACAGGAAATTTTATCGAGCTGATTAAGGGGCTTAGGCGAGCGCATTGCACAACTGAGATATCCTAGGCTTTGTTAGTAGCTGAACTGAACTGAGTTGTGATTATTAAAGTAAAACAAACAAGGCAAGGCAATGGCTAAGAATGATAGATTAAAGCTGTCCAAGTTAGGCAAAAGAACAACCATTTTTACAAAAATTGCGTTCAATATGGATTTTACCTTCACCGCTTTGGCAGATTGTAATTACAGACTAGTGAGCATTGTCCAACGGTATAGGTCTTTTGGCTGCTGTTGTTATGAAAATATCATCGGTATTTTGACCATTACTCAATATGTGAAACGTAAAACAGTCAGGCTTTCTCTTGGACATTCGTTATTTTGAAAATCCGTAACAACTAATCCAAACAGTAGAAAAAGGGTTGTTTTGTTCAGTGAAGGAACTAGTATTATCATGATATATTGACCCCTAAAATCGAATACTATACCCCACGCAATATAAGATTTCAAATAGCTATACGTATCACGGCAACTTTTGCAATCTTATATTATATTATATTACATTATACTATAGTATACTATGATACTAACTTTAAGTAAAGCTATTTCCAATTAGTAATATGTCACAGAGAAATAAGTTTGTACGTACTTATAAGCTTGCGAATTACTTTTTTCTAGGCTACAAAAGTTTACTTAGCTTGATTTTTAATTTTACAAGTAAAAATATACACATGCTGTATACGTTGCTTTAGTTTTTATAAACTAAAAACGAGCTTTTGCGGAACGTGTAAGCTGCTTTGTGACATAATACAACAATATAGCTTTTTTTTTAAAAAAAAGTAAGCTTCATTTTTACTTATTTTTAATTTTTGCAGTCGCTTTTTAATTCGGCTTGCCAGCTTTGGCGAGATACTCAGTATATTGCCAATATAATATGGAATCAAAGTTTCATACTAATACTAGCGTAGTATCAAAAAGTCGATCTCATATGACTCGAGACTCAATATCACTATATATCGCCATACTAGTTCCTTCACTGGTTTCATTTTGTCAGCGACCTAAATTAATCCGTGAGCGGCGGCTAGTTCCTGTTTCAAATTGCATCCACGGGTCTGTGGAAAGGTAAGGAGAATTGTAGGCATAGGGAAATTTATCTATAATTTCCTATATTGTGACAGCTTTACTTACGTCCTTGGATCGAGGCTATTCAGAGCCGTCCATCGTAAATGTTATTTTGCCCAGCTTGTGGCAGACCCATAACAACTGAAGAGTCACCGACCGAATTCCTTTTAATATATTTGCATGGGTGCCTCTTGTGTCGTAAATATCTTTAGTAGCTTATTGTACAGCATGCCCATACAAAATTATAAAGTTGAATAGTCAATTTTGTAAATCCTTATCGACTATTTCTGAGTAAGACAACACAACTACATGAATTGGACCTTGTATTCGAATCACACCAGCACGGGAAACTATTCTTAGAAATATTCAGATAGGCCACTCACAACTTGGCATGGAATTCCTATTTGTTTGTCAGTATTAGCCAGAACATCCAACACCAAGGAAGATATATCTACTCGCCCACTTCAGATACGAACCTTAACCAATGAATATTTCTACCGCAGTGGCATCCGAACTCGCTCCTAAATCAGCCATAGTGCCTCAAGTAAGGCACCTGGCAACAGTTGACAATCCGTTTGTCACTCCCTTTGATGATGAAAATTAGATCAGGAATGAAGCGATCCTCGAGCCACCGAGGGCCATCGAACTCCCTAAACGTACAAGTAGCCTTGAAAAGCCCCAAGGCGTAGCGAGACACCTCGAGTCTATAACCTCACTCAACTCTCCACAACAGTTCAAGCAACGCTTTGAAGACAGACGACGGGAAAGATTGGGGGAGATAGCACTTGTGAGATGTTCAAATACCACACCAGCAGTCGCCTCTACAGCCACCGTGCCCTCTCACCAAGCCACAACACTTGAGGCATTCAAGGTCATGTGGGAAGACAGTAAGCATATTGCTGTCACCCTCCTAATTCTGCTCGTGACGATATTGACTCATTTCATCCTCTTTCTCATCGAAATTCAACACAACTCTGAACATGACTCCATATCGTCCGCAAGGAAGGCGGCCATCTTTATTTCCTGGCTCTTCATGTTCTTCCTGACGGTACACACCAGCAAGCTATGGTACTACCGTCTTCGGCCATTTCTTACCGATGACCTTGGCCGCAAATTCCTGGTCGCCTACCTTGCATCATTATTATCGCTCCCTGGGATCTTTATATTCTGGATTTTCACTGTTACCACGAATCGTTGGGATCCGAAGAATGCCGCAGGCGCATTTAGGGCTGCTCTCATGGTAATATTTCTCCTCATTTTATGCGGCGCAAGCCTGTTTAGCCTTAGGATTCTGATGGCTCTTCATCGAAAATACTCAACCAGGTATGAGATAACCGTACGGCGTCGACGACCAGACATTGAGCAGGGCATTGCATTGCAACTCAGTCACCCGCCCGGCTCAGTAGGTATGGAGCGAGCGATCATAGCCCGTTCTGGTACATCGGGCCCTGCTCTTTCTGGAGTTGAGCTTTCGGATCGAGATGGCCAATCACCACAACCAAATATGTCGGAAAGAGACATCTCTGGAGCCAAGGACATGATCCAAAACACTAAAGATAATGGTCACACGGTATGATTTACTATCAAAGACCGAGCAAGTGGAAGTAGATTTGGTTCTCAGCAGCGATTCCGAGTGACTACGGCGGGTAGTTGGTCACGTCGCTGGGAACACGAGTTTAGTAGTTTTCAACGAGTAAAGCATGGTATTTGGGGGTATATATAAGCTGCGGCATCACGAAATCAAGCGCGTGATCCCCTCTTTCGATTCTCCCTTTGTCTTTTCTCCTTCGCAACAACTTTCCTCCTTTTCTTCCAAGCCCGATTCGTTTCTCCTCTGTTCTCGTAAAACCATTTCGTAAAGTCACTTTCTTCTTCCTTGTTTTTGCCCCCAGCAACTTCTTTTCCTTTGCCTTTCCCTTCATGGCGGATGGGCGAGCTGGGTGCATCTTGGCTGTCATCTTCTTCATCATCATTATTCTTTGGCCAGAGAAAACGCTTGTTCGCGTGAGCGGTATCCGGGGTTGGGGCGGCCGACCGTTGCCCACGGAATTCGAATTCGCGCTGTGTAAAGGGCGTGAAAGGAATAGTGTCCTGCTCGCGCTCTACATCGTCATTTTCATCAATATCATTACCGAAGAATGAGAATGAGGGCCCAGTCGCTGCGGTCCCTTGATCGCCTTTGGGCTTTTTGTAGAGTGCCTCGAGAGGATGAATGGGCGTAGAGGTCACGGCAGAATTGGGAATGCTGATGGTAAGTCCAGAGGAAGAGGTCGGTCGGACTAGCTTGGCTGGTGATGAAGATGCAGGCGAGTCAATGGCAGGCACAGATGGCTTAGAAATAGACTCGTCTTCTGACGATGATGAGTCTGAATCTGAATCTGAAGACGATCCTGAGCTAGATGTATTAGAATCAGATGTCGTGATACCCTGTTCTTTCGACTCAGAGCTTGATGTACTTGATATATCCTGGCTAGGCGAGTCTCTGTTGTCTACCACTTCATTATAGCCCCCCTTCTTTCTTTTTGTCCGTGTCTTGTCTACGTTTAAGTCCTCTTCTGCATGGCTCTCTTCTCCGCTTGAATTCGGAGAATTGTTCGCATTCGAAGCGACTCCGGGATTGTCCGCAATACTTTGAGTCTTTGGTACATCTAGGACCATAAGTTCTTTCATTTTGCGCTTCTTGACCTCTGCCTCCACGATCTCTCCATCATCATCAAGCCAGCCCTTGCCTGCTACGTATTCTTTCACGCCCTTTCCCAGCTTTTCTCCTGTCGGACCTCTCAAGAATGTCATATATTTCTCCCTTTTCGCGAATTCGTGGACTACCCTCTCCTTCCCTTTGCCCTTCTCCTGCGTAGCAACATTTGCTGGCAGCACCGTCTTGAATAAGCACTCCTTTTCTCCCGAATATTTGCTCTTGACCTTTTTCTTGTCACCTTTCGCCACCTTCCCAGGCGTTGTCCATCCTCTCTTCACGTTGCGTTCTATTTCTACTCCTGGTATCTCGTCCCGTTTTCTCTTCTTCTTCTCGCGCTTGGGCCGCTCTGGCGTAGGTTCTGCAGGTAAGAACTCTGGCTTCGGTCGCGCGGTCTCGATTTTTATTTTCGTGCCTTTCAGAATTGATCCGTTTAGCTTCTTGGTAAGGCTCGTGGCGTCCATGGTGGGAAGTTCAATATAGCCGTAGGAACTGTCGGGGAAGGTCTGGATATTGTGGTAGCTGATGTTTTTAGCGTGGGGTAGGATTGAAGGCGGTACGAGAATGGGCAGAAGATTTGGGTTAAGGGGGGTGATATGAAGTCTGGTGTATTTTCCGGTCACTGGGGGATCGGCCATGATCTAGATTCCATGGCATAAAAGATGGTTGGGAGGTTGAGTCGGAAGCTGCTGATGAGAAGTTTCTTCCAATGGTTGTCGCTAAATTTGTGGATAGCCGCCAACCGATTAGCTCACCCCGAATATCACATTCTACATATTTATATTTTAATCCGTATACTTCAAACATATTACGGGCGCTTGGTCTAGGGGTAGTAAGTTTAACCAACACAGACTTATTCTCAGAGTCTCTTCTAACTATTATCCAGTGATTTTCGTTTCGCATATGAAAGGTCGTGGGTTCAATTCCCACAGCGTCCAGAAGTTTTGGTGACGTACTTGATTCACTTCTCTTTTTTGGTTTTGCGATCACCTCTGAAATGCTAGTGAGGGCAAACCCTTACTTAACTAGCTATATATATATGGATTCTCTGCCTTTATGATGAAGGAAATTTTCTTTTTTTCTCAATTTTTTTTTTCGTTTAGGTGGGTTCCAGTTAGCCAATTCAGCCCACATCCCCACTCTCGGGAATTCCCCCAATCGTGATGCACTTTTTTTGTAGAGCTGCCCGCTATAAGGATTCAAGGGTATTCACACTTGAATGGAGAAGAGGCGCCAGAGTTCGTCTACTGTTAACACATCTCTGAAATGACATATCCATATTCCTTTCCTACTCAAGCATGCATGATTTCTGGTTGCTTTGATCTCAGCCACAAAGTATTACCAAATATCATACATTGAGGATTAACCTCGCCAACCTGGGGATCATAAGTTATAGCCGGCGTTGTCTCAGCATCAAATTTGGATGGAGTGTATATGAGGTATTCTCCTTCCAAGATCGGTTGCTCGAGACTCTAGTTTGTATTTGAATGAGGTCTACTTGGATGAAGCATGCTGGAGGACGGCCCACATCCTGGAAACGTGTCTCGCCTTCCTGAGCATTCGAACACGTCCACGGTACGTCTACCGTTATCTAGATGCCCTGATACCACATGGGAATAGCAATTCTACTAAGACGGCAGAGTATGTCTCAATTTCCAGTGCACCGATCTAATTCTAGTGTACATTCAAACTTGACTAGCTAACAACTCTGTAAGTGTTCCTAACAACGCAAGCTCTCTTACATCTTCGTGGTTGATATGGTTGTATCTAGAGACTTTATAGAATGCTTAAAAGACGAAGAGGCAGAAAGTGCGTGTAGAGCCTACAATAGGTAGCGCACGTGCTTCCAAACATCATGATTGTACTTTCCTTAGGTCTAGCCGCAAAATAAATAAATAAAAAGAAATCGATTAATAACATGAATCTGCTTGAGGATATCTCTTGTTGGGTGGGAACCCTTCTAATTGTTAATTTGAGGCATATTTTTCGTTTCTGCTTTCCTTATTATCCGAATTTGGCCTACCTAGCATGCACCAACCTAGACCTCGCCCGGGCATCCACCATACTTCGAAATCCTATCCCGCACCCAGCCCCGAGGAATATCACCTTCCCAAATCACCGTCGCGTCTTAGTCCTGCTCTTCAGATCACTGCGACCAAAACGTCCTCAGTTCCCAATTTGTTACCCCCGCAATCGATTGGCTCTTCTCCATCTCGTACTGATGGATTGACAGACTCTCAGGACTATTTTCCCTCACCATCGTCACTAGCCAGCTTGAATCAAATTGCAAAACCAGTTACTCAGAAGCTGAGACAGATCTCACAAGCTGGTTTTGTTAACACATCTCCCCCACAATGGAGATCTAGTTTTGGCTCCACAGGCAAAGGCAGTGTAGAGAGTCACACCAGCAGCCGCTTCTTAACCCCGCCCTCGCCGCCACAAACACCAGAAACCGAGAAATTGCCCTACAAGGCGAGGAGAAAGAGCTCTGAAAGTCTCATTATGGTGAAAATATCGCAGAAGGACAGTACTGCATGGAAGAGGAGAAGGAGACAAAACAAGGGCCGAAAATGCTCTTTGAAACACAGGCAGATATCCCAGGAACCATGGACTAACCCAACTTGTCGAGTACCTCGATGCCAGGTAGCCCCAACAGCGCCGGAGGGATTTCGGTGGCTATGCCAGAAACCCGTCGACTGTATTGATTTAGTGGTAATTAATGACTTAGTACGTAGATATAAAGGAATGAGGTCGACAGGGATGCAGAATAAGAATATTCCTCAAAGGCTCACTAGAAGGTGGAGCTCAGTTGAATATGAAAGCCCTCGAGTTCCTTCTGGAGAATTGAGTATATTCTCGGGAACCCTCGACCTCCAAACTCCTCCTACAGTCGTTCCCGTCAAAGCCAGACTTCATCTCCAGCACCAGATATAAGTAGGTGTATTGCACAAGAACTTCGTGGAAAGTTAAGTTCATATGAGGCACCTATGACAGGACTGAAGATTCCAAGCACAATAACTTTGCAAAGAGCTAGTGAGGAAGACGAGCAGCTGGGCATCGAATCACCATTTTCTGTGTTCTTATCTGACCATAGTCCTGCTAAAGGATTCTCAATGCCCAAAATCCAGATTGCCCAAGCCCAAAATGACAGACGCCATTCGGGGTGTGTGATCACAGCTCACGAGACAGATTCAACAACTGAGACTATCAAGTCAAGCTTCAAGAATTTGTCGATATCTCACCCTTCTGCTAAATATCTCAGTCACAACTCAATAGAGATATCATCTTTCTACAATTCAAGAGTAGTGACTTTCACAGCCAAGGGTTTCTTGCCTACAACTAGTACAGTAGCGGACTCTGTGGCCACTGCTGTCGAGGCATATCGATTCTCAAATAAATTGTCCAATATACATGACGAATTCCAATTCCCGCCAAAGCCGAAGGAGGAACATGTGGAGAATGAAAATTTGCCACGAAAGAGAACCGAAGAAACTATCTGGACAGCGGGAGCATCTGACACATATGAAGACAGTGAATATTTCAGGTTGGAACTGTCCTCAACAGACCAATCTCCACCTTCAGCAAAACCTCCATCACTTCCAAGGATCAACAATGCGGTAAACAGCCAGGTAAATCAGGAGAGTGACACGTCCGAATCAATCAATGCTCTGACTTCGATAAACAAATGGTCTTGGGGAGTATCATCGACGGCAGTGTCTGAGCCGTCTGACATCCAAACTCTGGAGAAGCCTCAATTACAAGATGTCATGATAACCCCTCCACCGTACCAATATAGACCCCGTCCTAGCGTTCGGCGGGTGCGCTCCGATTCCAATGAATCTCATCGTCAAAGAGCCTTCCCACAGCTTAAACCTCGCACTTCTGACTCACTGATAGAGCCTGGCCCTCTAATAAATGATGTTGTCTCTTTTCCGCCGCTTCCAAGGAAGCTGACTTGTGATTGGATATCACCACTGCCTGATATTCGAGCTGACTCTATTCATGAAAAATATCTGGCATGCGAAAGGGGATCTGGTGGAGCACGTCGCAAATCACTCTACTTGGAAGGTATCGATACTACGGTTGTTACTACTATGTCCTCTACTTCGCGGAGAGATTCACTATTGACATCTCAGTCATCACCGAAAGTATGCGCGGGCCTATGTTCTTCATGTTGTGGTTATGGAATTGACCCTATAGCACTATTCAATTTAGAGCATAGTGATAGTCATAGAAATTGCCGATCAACCCTCGGTCTGAAGGCTCCGCCACTATCTCCGAAGGTGGTTCTCGATCCGCAGTACGGGATGAAGTGGAATAAGAGTATTGTTATTGCTCATCCTAATGCACCAGCAAGGACCGGTTCTTCGTCAACGATTGGCTCATCGTTAGGCGCTAGCTCCCACGTACGAAGAAAGAGCGTCCATGTTTTTGGAGACAAGTTTAAGACATGCTCAACTTGGGGCAATGTCAATGGCGATTTCGCATACCTGCATCCGCCATCATCTTCCTCCTTTGCGGGTTCGGGGACACCACCTGGACCTGGACAAACTGATGGGGACAACAATAACTGGCAAAAATGGCGGACATGCTACTAGCAGGAAACTCTCAAGGATGAGGTCTCATCTTGCCAGAATGTTTAAGAACTTGTATGCATAGCTGCGGAGCAAGGACCACATGAATTTTTGACCTCATGATTAAGCGTGAAGAGAGTTAGAACTTTGACGTAGGAATGCACTATGGGAGAGTGTAGAATGTTACGAGTATCCCGCGAGGGAAGCCAATGGGCGATTGAGGAATTCAAGTATAGACTGGATGGGTTGAGGCGGCCCGCTGCTGAAGGAGGAAAACTACAATGAACTTCTGAGCTGTACTGCTCATAACAATCGTGATGCTGGTTATGAGATTCCTTGTGACAATTCTCAATTCCCAGGTCTCAAAATGGGGTTTGTGGGTATAATTAACTGGCTATTACTTATTGACTCAAAATAATAGAGCTATGCTTTCAGTAACACGAAAGTATGTTTCTTTGCTTCCCAAGGAACATGAGCATAGAGTAATATGCTTGAGTAATGAAGAATCACCTAGTCAAGATCTGTCTAGCCTACAAAACCTACCGCCAACGCCATGCCATCTATGCACAAAGAATGGGTGGAAGGAACGCCGAAGTCCACGTACAGGGTATCCCAGCACAAAGTATTCCTGAACTCCTATTCCCGGCATGAGCTCGTCGCTGTTTATTTCTTACTCAAGACATCCGGCATCCATTCAGTATCCGTCCGCGCCCTCTCCAAGCAGTCTGGCTATAAGCACATAGATGAAGATGGCGCCACCCGCTAGATAGAGCTTATTTCTCCAGACCCAGTTGTCCTCTGCGCCAACCGCTCTCCCTCCTTCAAATACTGCCTCTGCAATTGGTTGACTACCGCTCGGTCTCCTTAAGGCCATGCCTGGCGCGCATGCAGAATTTGATCCTAAATCCGAGACGGCGTTTCCTGTTGTGGTATCGATGCGTTGCTCCCGCATGATCTTCCAGTTCTCAGCGTCCAATTCTGGCCATTCTTCGCGGAATTTCATTCCTCCATCTCCAACCCTAATGTTGCCCTTCTGGTAGGTCTTTCCATCTTTGATTTCTTTCCAAGTACCACCACCAGTTGAGTTCCACCACCTGCTTCTTTGTGCCGCCCATCGTTGCTCCTGCGCCGTCCCGTTCACAGATCCTGTTGTATGTTCTTCACCGGTCATGAAGGAAAGGAGACCAATCAGGATCGTAGATACCTCCCATGCAGGGTTGTAAGACTTAGGGTGAAAATCAGAAATCGAGAGACAAAGTCGTGCGCTGGGCTGGAAGCGGGCAGATGGAGTGTGCATACGAATTGCAGGAGGAGCGAAGGGATAGTCGGGAGGGAAGATGAGCGTCCCCCAGTACTGACCGTTA